CGGTCAAGCTCGCTTTCCGTTGAGGGTTTTCCCAAGCCTTTGAGCCATTTGTTGTACATAGAACTTCTCGGGGGTACTAAGCAGACTTGCTGAGTCAACTCGTTTTGAGGGCGCAGCCTTTCCCAAAGGGCTTTGAGCCATTCGTTGTAAATAGTTTGGTTGTGCCATCAGTCCTAATGCCAGAACTGAAAGAGCAAGGTAGATGATGCTCATGATGCTGGGTCGTTCATGATGCTGGGTCCCTGGCCCCCTACCCATGCAAATCCCGACCGCCCTCCCCCTCTCCAAAGCCCCCACTTGACAGTCAATACAGCGTTCCACGCGCAGTCAAGCTCGACTTCCCCCACCCGAAACCTGTGGCTGCTTCCCTGCCCCAACCCATGCAAGGTAGATGATGCTCATGATGCTAAGTCCCTGCCCCCCGTGATGCTCATGATGCTGGGTCCCTGCCCCCATGCAACTACCGACTGCCCCCCCCTTCTCCCTGACATTAAATACAACCCTTCCCTCGAGGTCATGCTCGCTTCCGTCATCTGCTGATGTCTGCCTATATGGAACACGATGGGTGTTCATTGAGTTGTGTCTACCTACACCGACAGCATGCCCTAGTTTGAGCTGCTTTGGAAATATTTGCTACCACAACAGAAGATTACATGCATGAACATAACCAAAGGAGTCGTCCTATCTTGCCGTTTTGTTTTGTAGTTGTTATTGTTGCTGCTGGTGTATTACAGCCATGATGAATAAAACTATGTCCACATATGCTCCTGCGGCAAAAACGACCAATACGCAATACTAACACGATACAATAGAAAAAATAGATAAGCACAGCAGATCTTGCGATCTTGCCAATTTTCCGTTCGCAGCTTCATTAAATATGTCTTGGCGAACAGAAAGCAAATCTTCACTTCCCGACAGAAGCTTCCGTGGGTCAATTCGGGGGGCTAGCCAGATGGTCTACTTAACCAGACCAGACATTGCGTGCAGTGCTTGTGCAATTCAAGTGTGCTTCGTGTGCTTCGAGGTTTTGCCTTATGCATGCCTGTGCCATGGAAGATCTGTGCAACAAGGCCATTTGTCAGCTACCGGCAAGCATTGCAAACGACCCCAGTCTCTGTCATCACTGTGCCGCGACAAGTCGCTACATGCAAATAGCGGGTGCCTTGCGGGCAGGGAGATCACTTCAAGCTGTTGGACATCGAGGCAGGTGATGGTGTTCGATCTGCAGCAGGACTTATGACTTACTGTACGGCCCGCTAAGATGTTAGCTCCAGGTGTTCTTGCCGGAAGACCTCAAGCTCCTCGAGCAGCCAGACGGAGCGAACACGCTGGAGAATCCGATATCTATGCAAATCCAATATGCTGAGTCCCAAGTCGAGCTGTTCCGAATCACCCTGAGCCCCCCTGTTCTGCCTGACCAAAACAAACAGCTCAGGTCTTCATCTGGATCAAATACTTGATCGTACAAGGTATCCAGAGCCGAGGCCTCAGCCAGGTACTGCTGTGGACCAGGTACTTTCTGTAGGGCGCAAGGGGTGCATATGGTAATGATTTTTCCGCGCCCGCACACCCCTAAGCTGTCAAGCCTAAAAGGCAGGCTGCAGACCTGCGGCCGAGTGAGACGGATGTAAAGAAACGCACATTGACTTGACACTGCTAGAACAGCTTCATGGAAAAGACTCTGACGCGACAACAAAATCCGCACCAACAAGCTCTGCACTTCTGAGGTGGTTTGTTGGACGTCCCTCCGCCGATTCTCACGCGTGCCTACCAGGAGATTGGCGCTGGAATGGCTCAATTCCACAACGCGCAGATGATCTCCATGTGGCCCTTCCCCTTTCCCTACGCCCAGCTCAGCCTCTTCCTCTCAGTGCCTGGGCCCGGAGAGTTGTGCCGAGTTTGGGGGGGTGTGATCGGGCGGTGTGGGGCTCGGAAGGTGCTTCACTTGTTTCTGAGCCCCATCATCATGCTGAAGTACACAAGCAGTGTTTGGGCATCAGCCCTCCTGACTTACATCTCCATCGTCTGCGTGATGTCCCTGAACCTCAGTGCACTTGGCACATTTTGCTTCTTGAGGTGAAACAGGCTGGGCGGTCCGTGAATAATCACTTTTTGAGCGGCTTTTCCGCCATCAATTTGCTGCTCCGTCGGCCGGAGTCGCAATGCTGATTGTGTACCGAATGCTGCGATAGTACAGCCGCAGCTTGTCATGACGACGGCGATGGCAAAGCGGCCACAGCTTCGAGTCGCGACGGGCGGGGCATGTCTCGGCTCCTGCTTGAGGGTGTGCAAGTTACGGGTACTCGTAGTGACTGGCAGTGTTTAAACACTCTCGCACTCTGCGAGGAACATCATCGGGGTGGAGCTGGAGAATCCTTTTGGCGAGGACACGAACGATCTACCTGCAGCAGAGACTCACGAGCAATTCCGACACCATATCTTGCTCCTTGCCGACCCGGGGGCGTGGCAGGTTCCCAGGACGAAGGATAGCTTTAGCACTGGCTTCGAGCAGTTGCGGAACGCCTCCGGTCGGCGGGTGAGCTTGAAGCAGCACCTCAACAGCACCGCCCATCTGGATTCGGACCTGGCGAAGGACATGAAGGCCACGGACACTGCGGGCGAGGCGAACGGGCCAGGGCCGCAGAACCCGCAAACAAGTCCGAAAAGCCACGGCCACGACCCCGGCCACGGGCAGAGCCCTCACGGAGGTCAGCACTTTGCTGCGGACCCAAAGCAGGTCGAGATTCTGGAACGCTGGCTCAGCAGACAATCTTCGATGTTAGAAAGCTTCCTGACAAAGCAGCAGGCCCTCATGGAACAGATGCTCAGGTTCCGCAATGTTGAGGCAAGAGCTCTTATGGCAAAAACTACATAAAAAGCGGATCTGCTCCGAAGTCCTCTTTCCTTTCCCTTTTAGGTGAAGGCTTCGAACGGGCCCTCGGTCTTCACTCCCGAGGGCTGCTGCTCCATCAGCGCGATGCGACCCAGGCGGGAGAAGTGGGGAAGAGTGCGCAAGAACTCTGAGGCCTTGCCTTCTGCCTCTGCCCCTCTGAGGCCTCTGGTTTGAAACCCGGTGACCATCCTTCCGGACGGGGCCTCGCAGGCTGCCGCTGCGCCCGAGGCCAGGTTTTCCAGGCGAGAAGCGACGAGATAAGCCTTCAGAGCACCTAAGAACTCATGCGCCGATGATGATGTGCCCCAGAGACGAGAGGGTCAGCTCTTGTGCAACTCTTTATCCCTAAGACCCAGACCATGTCTCGGATTGCATCGGCGAACTTAAAGAAGATGCGTATTGCTTGCGCCCAGGCATGCATGTGCACTCGTTTGATGGTCTTTGCAGCTACTGCTCTCCTGATTTTTGAGATATTTTTGTGGTTGTTGCTATCATCGCCGTTTTGAGTATCATAGCTGTGATTACTGTGGTTACTGCTATACCTGTTAGTATTATGATCATTGTCGTTGCTGCCAGCCTGATCTACTAGATAGGTGTTGCTTGCTTTGCATAGGTATTTGCATGTATCGTTGCTGTTGCTGATATCCATGCATATTGAAGTACTCGCAATGAGCTTGGCCACCGAAGCGTAATTGTCCGTTCACGTCGTCTTTCTCGCAATCCATGCAGACATAGGGAATTGGGACGAGATTTCGTTCCAATTCCAGCTTCCAAACGGAGCCGTTTCACCACATCTTCGCCCCGATGCAGCTCAAGGCTTTGCAAAAGTCCTTTGGACTGGGCACCGCAGTTCTGCACTCCTGAGCGTCACAGGGTGCTTGATCGCAAGGTGTATGTTCCAGACGAGATTAAGGCGCTCCCAGCAGAGGCACTTCGGAGCCCTCTTTTACAAAGCCGGAGAACGGCTTTCAAGTGTTTTCTGCGTCCTGAGGCTCCGATCTTGAAGAGCCGCCGTCTGCGGGACAGAGCAGTTGGAGAGCTCGAGAGCTTGCGTCAGTTGCGAGGAGGTGCCAGGCCGGTGAGAGCCCAAGTGAGCTATTCTGAGCAGGATCCCGATGGAGAGCTCTTGCTGCCGCTGAAGACCGCGAAGAAAGGCAAGGCAAAGAAGAAAGCTGTCGGGCGGCATCCTCAGACCAGGGCATGGCAGCGCAGGGTAGCGCAGGTCATTTTGTTTGTGTCATCTTGCGACCATATATAGAGCCTTGCACACTTGACAAAGGTTCAATACTCCGCGTACGAAGAAGTGACCTGACTGGCGTTGACATTTGCATTTGAGCTCCAAAAGCAAGGAAAATGTGAGGGCCACGAGAGAGATCACGGATCACGAAATCAGCCTTCGCTGCTTCAAAGCATGGTGTGAGCGCCGACCTGAGAACAAAAAGTAAACGCGATCGGCTTCAGCGGAGGTTTGGAGGAGCCGGGGAAAGGACCATCGGAAACTCTCTGCAGCCAGCGAGATGAGTAGCGAAATTGAAAGTATCATGAATCTGCATCCGCCAACACTTGCAAGCCGGAAAGTGACAGACTCTCGCCAGGTTTTGTGGGAATTGTCCTTCCCCCGGCAACTCGGTAGCCATCGGGAGACCGTAGAATTTGGTGGGTGAGAAGGGCGCCATGTACAGCTTGCCAATGACGGCTGTCGCTGGTAACCAGCAGCTGCATTGACTGGGCAGGGGCCCTGCCAAATCCTAGGTCATGCACCATCAGGCTCTGTACTGAGCTCCCGATTTGACTGCCGTCCGCATGTTGTTCAGGCTTCGCGTGATGCCCTTCAAGAAGCATATCAGGCGACCCGGTCTCATAATCAGCTTGACTGGAATTGATGGAAGCTCCAGGCCCGGCAAGATTGAAGCCAGCCCTGATGGCGATGCCTTGGTCGTCCATTTCACCTCCGAGATCACCCACTTGGATGAGGAGCCCTGCAAATCTGAGTTTTCCAAGATTGCTCACGTAGTCATGATGCCATGGCACCAGCAGGATGGCATGCCCATCAATGCCAAACCGCCAAGTCTTACAAATGAACTGTTCAGACTTCAGCCAGGCCGATGGCCCCTTTGGTTGCGGAGACCCAATGCCAGGTGGAGAAGATGCCAGACAAGCGCGAGGTGCCTATTGGCGAAGCCATGCGAGGCACACCTCGTCATCATACCCCCCCATGGGAGCAGGGGCGAAACTGCATCCATGTGCTGTGGGAGGTCTCCGTGAAGAGGATCTACCTGCGCTGGCACAGGAGATTGTCGAGAAGCGACTTGACGAAACTCTGGCCCGGGGTTCTTTTCGGGCTATCCAAACTCGGATGAATTGTGGGTCCCGGAGTCAATCGCAACAGCAGCACAACTGAGGTGCCGCTACATCCCTGAAAGCAAGACTTCGCAAGTGGCGAAGGCTTCTGCACAGTTCCCGCTTGATGGCGTCATGTATGATGTACCGTCCAGGAATGCTGCACAAGGATCATTACATTAGTGTTCAAGCATGGGGGTCGTCTGCCAGATTCTCGATCTTCACATTCCTGAGAACTCTTGTCATTTGCAAACTCTGGGGTCAAGCAGCTCGTTGCAAATCCTTGCGAGCTAGTTCTGCGACACGTGGCTGTGCGGTCCCCAGGAGAGTAATTTTAAACGGATGTAAGCCCAATGTGACACGAGCACTGTCTTCTTCCTTTATGTGTGCTCGTAACCAGGTATTCTCAATCATGGCAGAGGTTCGCCAGACCGCTGGAGGAGCGTGCGCCTGCCTCCTTTATCGTGAACCCAGCCATGCATGCAAGCGGCTGCTTCCGTGGTGTTTGGCCTTGCGGCAGATTCCTTGGCCCAGATTCATAGCAGGTCCACCCTTTGCTTGGGCTTGACGGAGAAGGAAAGCACTCAAGTCCCTTGCCTCGGATCCTAGCTCCGAGGCTGGAGAGTTCTCAAGAGTCCCACGGCCAAGGCTACTGCAGAAGCGAGTGCCTCCCGGTCGATGCTTCCTCCAGGACTCGAGCTTTGTGTGTTCCATGCTATGTGACACCCAGAAGTGTGCGCGTGTGTGTGTGTGTGTGTGTGTGTGTGTGCGTGCGCGTGCGTGCGCGTGCGTGCGTGCGTGCGCGTGCGTGCGCGTGCGTGCCGCTGCTTAGGCGGCAAATCCACAATCTGCCTGGGCATGGACAGCGTTCAACAAGTCCCGAAGCGCGAGACCCTGGCACCACCAGGCACAGGCTCTGTGCGTCTTAATGCGCTTATCTAGCACTGTTGATGCTGCCAACATGCAAGGCGGCAAATCCACAATCTGCCTGGGAATGGAGACGGCCGCTGCCGCTCCGCCGTCATCCAACGCTTTTGCTTGTGGTGCGCACCAGAACTCCGGAAACGTCCTGACCGAGCGGCCCACAACAATGCTTTCAGCTCCACCCGGTGGCAAGGCCACTCTCTGTTTGGGAATGTACACCGACACTGAGCACTTCGAGGCGAAGCAGGCAAAGGATGGAGAAACTGAGACAAGCTCCCGGCCGCCTGCGGGGAAGAGCACTGTCTTGCGATCCTCTACGACCGAGACTGACAACCTATCCACCCGCCCCGTCGGTGGAAAGGATCACATCGTCCTGGGCGCTGAGACTTTGGAGCTTCAAGACTCCGGAAATCGGGTTACGGCTGGTGGAAACAGCAGCATCTGCTTCGGCACGGACACCAGCCGCCGACTCAGTGCTCTGGAGCAGCTCAGAAACGCTAGCAGTGGCACATGGGTGTCGCATGGGTAGTTCCCTAAATTAGGGTCCCCAATGCAGGAAAGGGCACCCGAATTTCGAAAGCCACCCGACATGGCATGAAGGTGAGTGGCGGGTCTCCTCCAAAGCCCTTGGGCAGCCCGTGGAAGCCTCGGCTCCGACCTCCGAGTCCGAGGCGCGGTGACCGCACGCCTCGCAAGAACTACCCCCCTACTTCGTACTGGAGCCTCTCAGCTAAGATTGCTAATTGAAGCTTTCCCTGGCACAGGAGAAGGACGCGCCAGTCCCTGCGCAGGAGATGGATCCTCTGGAGTCTCTGGAGGTTGAGACAGTGCTTTCTCAGATTTTGGGACAGCACTCTCGAGTTTTCAGGCCCCAGTTAGCGAAGATCAGCCTGACTTGGAGGCAGGAAAGAGCGCCCAGACAGAGGAACATATAGCAGCGTCCTTCTGCTCAGGCTCTCGCCCCAACTCCGGTGCGGGTCCCACCCGGAGGCGCCAGAGTCCGAAGCTCTGTCCGCAGATGGAGAAACCAACGGATCAAAGCCACGCAGGGTTGGCCTCGGTGGTGCTGGGAACTGCCAGCGAGGGGAAGCGAGAGGACCTCCATGTTGGCTAACCTTTCCATGCTCGAAAAAAATGAGTAGAGACAGGATCCTGACGCAAAGCTCGAGGTCAAGCACCTGAAGCAGGAGCCATATTATTCCGGTTGCCGCCGATAAACGCCTGCTCCCAGTCCCTCGCGGAACACAGCCAGGATCTGCCCACGCCTGCGCGCAGCATTCGTGCCCCACCCGGTGGCGCAATGGGCCAAGACAGCCTCAAGCGCTGTAGACACTGGCAGTCAGACGTGATGTCTTCCCAGTCGTCGCAGCAGGCTCCAGAATCCAGTTTTTCTGGTGACCGAGGCCGCCACCGTGCTCCTAGGCTGAGGCCACCTGTAATTTCAGCCGCCTCGTGAAACATGCAGAAGTAATTCGGCAGCGCCGCTTTCCCTGTTTTTTGGCACTGGTATCGTCCTAATTGCAGCGTGGAAGCATATAGGAAACCGGAGTCTGTCCTCGGGATCGACAGGAGTGCTGAAACAAATTCATTCCAAATGGTGCGCGCGACTTCAAGTGCAGCTAGCACGAAGACTGGGAGAAAAGCCTGCGACTGCAGCTTGAAATGTTGCTCTTGTGCTGAAGTTCCTCGAGCCGATACTTGGTGTTGTGTCTTGCCGCGGCAGGTGCTCAAGAAGCTTTACGGACTACAAGCCTCAGATGCGCCAAAAGCTCAGACTGACCTGCACCCGCCACTTTGCTGATTTCTGCCAAGCTGGAGGCCATTCAGCAAGGATTTCGGCGCAGGCGGAAATGAATTTGGCTTCAGCAAGCCTTTAAAAGCCTTTACCTGCAGCTCGCAAGAGGTGCCACGCAGTCCTCCACGAATCGGACTTCCGGTGGCGACTCCGTGCTTCCTGCGCAGCCCGCTGACTCAGGGCATCCCAGCATCGGCCCATGGACGTGTAGGGCGCCATGTGCGCGCAGGCTAGAGGACCTGCTGCCCAGCGCATCCGCGTCGACCTCGGCCACTTTTTCCGTACCTATCTCCTCTATAATAATATCATTACCTATATCTATCTATATTCTATACATACATATATATATATGTGCTTTCCTAGAAGAACTCCCATCACCAAAAGAGCTGCGGCAGCCCACGGGCCGAATGGTGTAGAGCTGTCAGGTGATTTTGGGTACCCGCTGAGAAAGGCGAACTCTGTAGATCGAGGTGGTGCATTCCGAGCGCGTAGGGGAAAAGACAGGGGGAGGCAGGCGACGGAGAGGCAAATTTTATGTAAACCTGATCAAAAGATACTCTGCCTCAGAAGGGTTTCTGAGGTCCGAAACTTGGACGAGTACGTAGAGGAGCTCTACGAGGAGCCCGACAATCTCTTTAGAAACGGAGCTGAGCAGACAAGGAAGCAGAAAGAACGGAAGGGGAAGTCTTGTCGGAAGCAGGAGCACATGGACATGAAGGTCCGAGGTGCTCAAAGGCTTCTCAGACTTTGCACGGAGGCTGTCACCTAGATCCTAAGAAAAGAGCAACACACATGGACTGCAGAGCAGTCTTGGCAGGTCCGCATCCTGGACCAGATGACGGAGCACCCCACTCTGCTAGGGGCATTCTTCCCGGAACTGAAAGGGCTCTGCGAAAGCCCTCCTTGAGAGCTTTCGGCATTCGAGGTGCTGAGTCGGGAGCTTCGCGAAAATGCCAAGCGCAGCTACGAGCTGGCTGTGGCCATCACAGGCTTGGAGCTGAATGGAATAACATCCTTCGCACCTCATTCGTGTATGTAAATATTATGCAGTACCATATACTTACATCATCATGTGCACAAAAACAGCATGTGTGCACTGTAGACATATGTGATTAGTATGTGATTATTTGACACACACACACACACATTGCTCGCTGCTGTTTGCTCTCGGAGGCATCTTCCTAATCCTTGCGAACTTCTCCTGCTTCCACGTCGCCCTGAAGCGACACCAGTGCGGGGAGGTGACCATGCGCGTTCTCGAGCCGCAGCCCTACAGGCAGAAGAGAAGCCCAATTCAGGGTCGAATAGGTAAGGCGGCAGGTGATCCCGGTTTTTTGTTGGATTGCTGCTAGCTTCCGACCCGAGGTATGAGAGCAAGCGGCGCAATGTCATGAAGAACGAATTGGTGCAGACACAAGAGCAGATGGTCCGACTCCCAGCATCAGAGGGAAGTGCGCTCGAGCTCCCCCTTTTGGTAAGGCGAATTCGCAGTCGCCTGATGAGTCGGAGCCTGCAGAGAACCGAGCATTCCGGACTCATCCGAGCCAGAGCAAGCCAGGCGCACGCGACTACAGCGCACCCTCGGCAAATGTCGGGCGCGCCTTGAACGACAGGCAGCCAACAACAAAACTCCCATTCCCTCCATACGTACACACTGCCTTGTTTGCCAGGACCACTTGCTGCAGATTTGCCTTCTGGTCCTCCGTGCAATGTCGGAGGACTGGCCACGGTCCCACGCTCCCATGATCTTGGTTATTAACTCCATTCGGCTGCAGGATACTGCTCAGGAGCTGAAATTTGTGAAGCAGAAGCTCTGCCAAATGCTGGTGCCGATGCTCGGCAGACAGCACGAGGACCAGACTGGAGGGCCCCAGTTTCTCGGGAGTCAAGGGCCTAGGTGAAGAGAAGTGGCACCGGATCGAAGAGCTGCCGACGGTTTTGCAGGATCTGCTCTTGAGCACTCTGAGCATGTTGCACAAGCTCACCATCTTTGAGCAGAACAAGGCTGTGCTTACTCGCCCTTCTGAAACATGCGAATGTAGCCAGAGATTGGGGGGGGGCCCTTTTTTTTGTTCGTTCAGGACCAGCTCTTGAAGGAGGAGGTCTTCCAACGCCTGGCCGAGCTCCTGGGCCACCCGGCGCCCGAGGCGCGCGGCAAAGCACCGCGGCAACGCCTCCCGTCTTCCCTTTGTGCGAATCGCGCATTAAGAGAGGTCGCCTTCCTGGCGATGAGAGTGCCGGGATCCCTTGAACTAGCTCGTTGGCTCAACTTGGAGAACTGGATGCTTTCTTCCCGATAAGGTGTTACAACCTCTCCTTCGACTCCAAAGGTCGATCCTTCCTCGTCAGCCAGCAGCTTCCCCTGCAGCAGAGCCCATTCTAACAACTCATAGCACTTATTCTTAATGCTGCGGCTCAGGAGCAACGTGGTTGCCAGGCTCATGGCCGCGGCCGTCACGTCCCAAAGCGCGAAGCCACCCTTCAAAGCGGCCGGGTGCCCCGGTAAAACCAATTCGGCCTCCGCCCCGAAGCCCGTGCAGCAAGGTTTCCCTGAGGCTGCTCTACCACCTCACGCTGGATCCTGCGGCGAGGCGGGGAGCCCCTCGGTATCCCATCTGTCACTCTGCAACTCAACTGGAAGGTCGACCCTGACAAGTCGCCACCCGACCATCGCTTCCATGGCACTGCAGCTCGTAGTGCCTCAGCCGGTCTTCAGCCCCCATAGTTGATATATAAACCACTAAAAGGAAAAGTCCCATTAAAAAGCCCAGGGAGCCGGAAATTTGTAGACCGCTCCACAGGCACAGAGCAAAGAGAAGGCCCGGGCCCTGCGAGTGCGCGGCAGAGTGGGCTGCAGAGGAGCGGCCTTGCAGTGAGCAGGAGCCGGAGGCACTCGCTCTGCTTCTGAACCTCGCAGCGGATGAGGTGAGATGAAGTTTATGCTAGAATGTACTATACTAGAATATACCATAATATACTACAATATACTATACTATATTATACTATACTATACTATACTTATGCGGCAACAGCCTGAAGAGCAAAGTGGTGTGGCTTCAGGCGGCTGCCTGCTTGCTCTTGGCAGAGGAGGCCTTTGTGACGGTGGCTTTGCGGGGCATCAAGGGCAGCCAGGTCATCCTCAAGGCACAGGGCACACGGCAGCTTCCCTGCGCACTCGAGTCGCTGAGAGCTGCGTGGCTTCTCGCAGGTCTTGCGGCACATTGCTTCCCACCAAGCGAGCCGCTCCATCCTCCTTGACGTGATGGGCGGAGGCACTTTTTCGCTGATCCTTGCACCATCAGCACTGCTGCTGCAGCAACCCCCGAAATCTTTCTCCTGAGACAGGTCCTGATGCCCCTGGCTCAAGCTCGGCTCTTAGACATGAATCCTTGTGGTGGCGCTGGCTTTCTCTTCACATCTCTTGAACGGCTCTGCGCCAAGGCCACGCGTGGCTCCTGGAGGTGTGCCTCTGCAGTCGCTGTGACAGAGAGTTCCATGAGACACGGTCTCCGGACAGTTGGTGCGACTGGCGCAGAGCACGGCGGCCGACAGGCTCCGGGCCTTGGGGCCTCACTGTCTTGGTGCGCTTGTCACATCGAACTTGATGGAGGCACGACGTGCTCGTTGAAGCCTTGGGCATCTTAGCAGCGCTGGACTGCAGCAGCCCAGAGGCTGTCAAGCGGCTGTGTGTTTCTGTGACTGCTCTTTCTGGTGGCCTTTCGTATGTTCTTCGAAGGTTCCCTGGCCTGAGCTTTGTGAAGCGGGCCTCCTCGAACTCTTACCAAGGCGACAAGCTTGAACTGAAGCGTGGTCTTGATAGCCCAAGACTGTAATCATTGCAATCGCGGTGGTGACTGACGAACAGGCTCTTAATGGTCGGCTTCTCCGAGGATGATGTGGTCCTGGAGGTGGTGAGAAGGGCCCAAGGGCCCAAGTGCTTGGCCACGTTTCCTCACAGCGGTCAAGCAGAGGCCGTCATGCTGCTCAGCGTCTTGGCCCTGGATCCGCCGTCGGCGGCGCTGCTGGCGAACTCCAAGGTTGATGGGAGCGTATGCATGTACTCATGTGGTAAAATGATCATGCTGTACCTGGTGATACCTGGTACTATATATTGCTATATACTACTAGTACAACCTTCCTCCAAGTCTGAGAATCGCGCCCTCTCCCTCGAGGTCCTACACCTGTTGCCAGACGTGATGGCCGCCAAGACGAAGGATGCTGATCTCATGGTGCGCGACCGCCGATGGGCGACGACTCCTCCCGAGTTTCTTCGGCTTTGCAGGTGCAGTCGACCTTCTTGCTCCGTTGCCTCATCATGTCCGATGCGACGCGAGATGCCGGAGACCTCGGACTGACTGGGAGATCCATGATCCATGGCAACAAAAAAGCTGTCGTCGCCCAAGGCAGTTCTACAGACGGACGCCCCTGCGCGTGTTCTGGAGCTCTCCTCAGCCGTCCCTGCAAAGCTTAACAAGCACCGATGACTTCGCTTTCGCCGGCAAGGAGCTCCTGCGGTCTCCAGAGCCTGCGGTGCAGGACTGGGCCCCACGAGGCTTTGCTGAATTCTGCGCTCCGCGTCCTTTTGCTGAGGATGCGGCACACGAGCTCTTGGAGATCATCGCCGCTGCCGCGCACCCATATGCTTCCACTCCCGAGCGCGGCCGCATGCGGATAAGACCTGCTAGACAGAGTGGCGAGAGAACCAAGATGTGCGGCAAGTGTTCCGAGAGGCAGTTAAGGAAAACCTGAAAGCCTAAACCCAAAAAAGAGAGGCGCTTCTCGACTTGCTAGGCCGAGGCACAGGCCGGACGAGCGAGCCGATGGACCAAGCATCTCCAGGAGAGAGCTTCAGGGTTCTACAGTAGCCGCAAGGGGTGTGGCTAAGAGGGCTCCGCATCCGTTCGCCTCTTTTCTAAGAGGAGTACAAGTACAAAGTGCACAACAGCGAGCCGCAGCCCCGGAGAGGAAACGGAAAGGGGCTTAGACTGTTGGCGCTTCCCAGAGAGGTGGCTGGATGCCGAGAGCGAGGCCAAGCCACGCCGCAATAAGGCCGCCGAGCTTTGTTGCAAGGGGCAAGTTGAAGAGGTAAAAGAGGCAGGGCAGACGGCTCCCCGACTTCGACTCGGAAGGAGACTGAGCACCGGTCGCCTTCGCGGGATCCGTCCAAGCGGAGCACTCTCACCGCGACTGCAGCGACCACTGGAGGAGAGATCTGAAATTAGTTGTCATACTGTAAATGGAGCTCAAGGTATACATCACCAGCAGACCACTTCAAGTGTGTCAGGCTGGGGCGAATCCAGCGACCTTGACGACCGCCGGGAGGAGAAGCGAGGGAGAAAAAAGCGTGTGAAGCCCCGGCCCCAAATTCACAACATGACACAAGAAATGACCCGAAGTTTCCCCGTATCACCATTCCGGCAAGCTTGCGAGCTGGGCAGTCAACTTCAGGTGATGGAACCTGGTGGGAGAAGATCCTTTGCTTCAGCTTCGGCCGCTTTGGTGAACAGGGGGGTTGCATACCTTGGCCAACATGCCCAAGGTCTAAGAGCAGGCTTTGAGTTTCTAAGAGGGCACTTCGGGGGTGGTTCTCCGAACTTCAAAGTTCGTCGAGGCCTTCTTGTGGAGGACCGGAGAAGGTTCACGGCGCATGCCGCATGCTGCAGAGAGAGAGAGAGAGAGAGAGAGAGAGAGAGAGAGAGAGAGAGCGAGCAGAGCAACATGTCTATTATTCCGAAAGATCTCAAGTCACTGCCGTGTTTCGTAAGGCGTCATCACGGAACACAGACATGATGGTTCGCAAATCCGAAAAATCACCTCGAAGCACGCCTAGTCAAAGAGCATTTGGGTGGTGTGATCCTGGGAATCGCATGCTTCCAGTTCGCGGTGCTCACCTCCTCCAGCCATGCGTGTTGTGCTGTCAAGAGCATCTGCTGACGTGTGTCACAAGAACACCGTGGATCAGGACCTACACCTGATGCGCATGATGCTTGTATCCTTCCTATCTTGCTCCGGCCGAGGCGCACAATGCTCTGCTACAGTAGCAAGCAACGGGGCATGCCAGCAATTCTTGCTGTATCGAAGCAAGCCGTTGCAGCTGATGCGCATTTTGCTCGTGATGCTCGGCTGCAAAAGGATTGAAGCAATCAAGGGGCTACGCAGCTCACAAGCACAATGCTCAGCATGCTTCCCTGCCCGAAGCCCCTGTCGTTCACAAACCAAAGTTACGCTTGCACAGTGCAGACGTCTTTTGTGTGTAATGGCATAATTTCTCTGCTGCCCGTTATAGAAATCAAGCCGCTCGAGCGAGAGCCGCCTCGGGGACGGTCGACGGGGCGGGGCAGAGCTTGCCAGAAGTCGGAGGACCAGGAAATGGAGAGGCCGCTTATCGCACCCCTCAAAAAGGAAAGGGGGGGTGTGAGGTCGTGGTCCCATGACATGGTCCCATGGCCCAGGCCTCCGGCACATTTAGGGAACTGTCAGGAACAAGTAGAGTCTTTGTCTTGCTGTGGTTACAGGCGGGTCCAAAAAGAGCACGACAAGAAGCCAAGCATGCCAAGCATCCCCAAGAGCTGCACGTGCACCTTGCGGATACTAGCTGATGCACACTGCTCGTGATGCATGCCCCCCCCCTTCCTTCAATAAAGTACAGAGAAGCGGCAACTGCAGCCGATGCTCGTGATGTGCTCGCGCCCGTACCTGTGGCACGTCAGACCAGCAGCAATTCTGTCTCCGACCCGGCCGCTGCAGAAAGCACTTGCAACTTGCTTCTGACATGTTTATCTGGTGCTCAATGCCTCTCGTCAGTGAGAGTATCGAGAGTATCGGACTTCCACCCACACTGCAACCGACGTGTGATGCTGTCTCCAGTTTCTGCCCATGACCGCCAAGGTGCACGAAGGACTTCAGAAGCGAAGGTTGGGGAGTTCTTTGGAAGGTGCGAGCTAGGTTTTTTTCCTGGGAGTTCTGAAACAGATTTGCCCACTGACATGGAGCGAAAATACGCTTCAACGAATCGTTTCCTGCACAGCTGAGCAGCCACACGATCTGTAACAGCGAAGAGAGTTTTACTCTTTTACCTATGACCTATGCAGAGATGGAAAACCTGGCATTCAGCCATATGCTGCAATCGGCTGCATCCGGCCACGGTGGCAAAGTGCTCAACAGCTCACTTAAAGGTGACGTGCTCCGTAAACGTATTCGGCCTGCATTGACTGCAAGGCTGGGTCAATTCATGCATGCCAGGCTCAACTGCTTGGCTTTCACGCTGTCCGCCAGCCTCCAGAGCAGCCACAGTTTGCAGCATTGAAAAAACACTGGAAAGCAGTCCTGATAGGTGTTTTCACAGTCTGGTTGGTGTAGATTGTGCCATGACGAGAGGCAGAAGCAGAAGCACGCAAAGCGTTTGGGTTTCTCTGTCGAGAGCCAGAACGATTCTGGTTGGCAGGTACTCGCACCTGTACAGTGCTTGCCAGTCCTAAGTGCTACAAGGCTCTGCCAGAGATGCCGTTGCAGTGCTCACACCGCATATGACCAATGCTAGCGAGACGGCACGACCCCTCGAATTCGTTGACAAAATCTTGCAAATGTGGCCGAGCTGATTCGCAGACAGCCGAAACTGTTTCCACTAGTGGCTTCGAGCATTTGGGCTCGAATCTCTGACTGAAGCAACTGGCCTAACATAGATGGCCCTGACCCCAAACGGTTACAAGCGCATTCTCCCAAACGCCCGGCTTCTTCTAGTGACGATTATCACATCAAGACCACTCTGAGTGTCTAAGACATACAACGGTTCCGCCGTGCCCTCTGCCAATTAGGACAGGTGACTGTGCCTGTGGAAAGCAGCACAGTGCCTTTTGACGGAGGTCCCCTTCGATGAGTTCTCAATGATCCTTGCCGGTGTTGCTTCAACTTTGCAGATGCCCAAAGCACGGAAGCCGGCGACATCCTGGAAAAGCGGTGCCGACGGGACCCAAGACGAAGAGAGGTGCTGGGTTCCCCTTGCAATCATCGTGATCCGATTCAAGGTGCCCAGGACTATCAGGCACGATCTCTGGGCTCAAGATTGCTCTGGCCTGCAGATAGATGCATGGTCGTGGGAAGGCGACCGTGGAGAGTCTTCGATATGGAGATGGAGCATCGGCCCCGGAAGAGCCGATCAGGTGGTTGTCTGTCGATGCTCTGTCCTCATGCCCAGGCAGCGCCTCTTGCAAGCGGAGAACACTTCAGGAACGTTTTCATGCCAACGGCAGAAAGTCCCCATTAAATCATTTGGTGTACTACTGAAAACGATGGTGCTCTTTGGGTTCAAGCTACGGGCGCGTTGTTGTTGATCATGACCTACACCAGCAGAGCAGGCAGAGAGATTGTCGAAGCGCTGTGAAACAGGTCGGAATATGGAGCTTTCTCAGCTTTGAAGCATCGATTGGCCGTCCATGCATGTGGTGCAGACCAGCGCCAGCAAGGCACGGTACCACGGTGCACTCGAAGCTGCCGCCTCGAAACAAGCACAGGATGTCCGGAAGCGCTTCAGCACCCTGCTGCCGCACGAGGACATGCGAGTCCGTGTCAACTCCCCTCCCGCCTCCCTCGCTTTAGGCATCCCTCGCGAGCCGCCGGCAAAGGCCGCGATCTCAGTTGCTAGGGACATCCAAAAGCCAACGTCCTCAGAGACGCTGCGACCGAGGATCACTGCTGAGTCGCCTGGCCTCGCTTTCTTTGAGCCTGACATCACGCGTGCCGCTTGAGCCAGGCAGAGGCGTGCCTCTCAACGTTTCCAGCGCTTGCAGGCGGAGACGTAAGAATCGTAAGATCTTTAAAGGTGCCCATATAGGAGCTTCCACTGGTGACACAGGTCGTAGTCCGGCTGCTGCCAGCTCCGGAGGCGGAGCTCGCGCCAAGCCGAGCAAAAAAAGGCGCCATGCTGAGAGCTCTTGCATTCAGAATTGCCGAGGCTACGGCCTTTCTCCAATGGCGCGGCCTTGTTGCCAAGCACCAGCGATGTCATGCCGAGGAGATGTGGCAGATCTGGCTGGTCCAGCTTTCGAGCTCCTTCGAAGCCTGACCTGGAAGGATCTGGTTGCTACGACTTTGTTGCCCAGTACCCGGACATGTTGCACTCAGACAAACCACACACAGTCTCGCAGATAATATGTGTAAATGATGTATATGTATGCGTGTATGTGTGTTGCTACACTGTGTGTGTATATATAATATATATATATATATATAATATATATAAAATATATATATATATATGTTTATTTGTTTATTTATACATTTATTTATCTATAAGATATAGAAGAACAACAGTACTGATAGTGATAGCAAGAAAAATAATAGTACTAATAGTAACAATATCAATACTACTAAGAATACTAACTGATCTCTCTCTCTCTCTCTCTCTGATGCTATCGCAGGGAAATAAGTAGATAGAGGGAAATGACTTCGGATCCTGAACAGCGTGCTAAGGTTTGCAGCGTGGAAAGGATGTGTGCTAGCTGAGGTGTGCTATGCTGTTTGGGTTGGAGTGGCATCACTCGTTCTGTTGGCAGGTGCACGCGCGGAGGGAACAGACCTCGGCAGAGGACTGCACTCTGCCTGATCCCGCTTCCATCATGCCAACCATTGGACGCTGGCCTTCTCGTGAAACTAAGTTTAAGGCTTTCTGCAGAAAACATGCCTGCGATTGAGGCAGCACCACTGTCAACATTCAACATGAAGGGTGGCGGCTACTGTGGCACAGAGAGCACTTCCGAGTGGTGTTGGGTCTAATCCGCTCAGCCATGGCTGTCCGCACTGGTCGCTATTGGGCCGTGCTGCCGCTGGCGCTGTTCGCCTACCTGAACGGAGGGCAGCTGGCCTCCACCTCCGCCCCGTCGCTGCCTCGGCGAGCACTGGGCGCCTTGGGGGCTGGCGCCCTTGGGGCACGGGCCCAGCCGGGCAACGCGGCGACGTGGCTCCCGCGACCGGCATCCGGAGCCATCTCCGGCGGCGTGCTGCCACTGACCATAGGAGCGACTTTTTCATTAATCGGCACATTACTACACTTACTGACTTACTCTTCGTGATTCTTTGTGCTCGCGTTGGAGAGTCTCGAGCCAGGACTTGGTACCTGCTTGGTCTCTGAGGGAGATGTGACCAGGCAAGTCCACATGAAAAGGAGCTTTGACCGACCGCCTGAGCGCCAGGCAGGTCTCCAGTGCTTTGGACACTGGCTACCGCGTCATCGACACAGCACAGAGGTATGGCGGCTGGGCTCTAATTCTGCAAACCGTATGAAGGGAGAGGGCCATCGGCCGCTTGAGGCAATGAAGCCGGCATCGGCCGAGCGTTGAAGGAGGCATTTGACAAGGGCCTTCGCCGTGAAGAAGTCTTCGTCACCACCAAGGCCCAGCCCAGACAAATGCTGCCTGCAGTGCCTGTGTGCCTGTCCAGTCGATCTCGTGCAGCAACACCAGTCAGAGCAGCCCTGGAATCTGTTTGGTGTTTGCACGCATGCCAGCCTGCTGCAACGCTTGTCGTTGAGCCACATGGACCTTAGATCGCTGCTTTCCTGTCATTTGCAACTGCAGTTCTCTTGATGTTGGTATCGTAGCTGTAGTGGTTTCTGTTCGCAGCCGTGACTGCGAAGGGTGAAGGTGAAGGTTGATTCTTTCCATGTTAAGCATGCAAGGCAGTTCGAGCACTTGGCAGGCACACGGATCAACCAGACAAGAACCCACAAAGCCTTGTTGCGAAGAGTTCCTGTGATACCCTTCACCGGTGCCTACTTGTCAACACAGTCCCGGAGGTCTGGCCCACGAATTACGGCTTCGACAAGGCAATCAGCTCAGTGCAGGACTCGGCGAAGAAGCTGGGTCTCGAGGCCGTCGCAACACACATACTCGAGAGGTTTGATGCCCATAGGGCCTAACTCGCCCCTCAAGCCTGGCGTGTGAGAGAGAGAGAGAGAGAGACTCTGTCACAGACTGAGAGAGTAGCCATTTTGGCTCAAGTGTCCACACCTTTGGTGAGGGGGCTTGTGTTGCTCCCTGGCATTGGGGGGGGACACTCGGGGTTGCCCTCGAGCTGTAACTCCAGAGCAGCCTTCGGGATTTTCCCAGCGGCGCTTGAGTCGCACGTCCGCTGCCACTCCAATCGAGTGACCCGTCGCGAAGCCTTCACACCATCCTGAACTACTCCACCCTAGCCATAGTGGGTGCGGGGATGAGGCATAGATGCGCGCTCTAAAGTTCGGGCAGTGCTAAGCACCCCAATGCCTCTTTCCCTCTGAATCCAGATGGGGAAGGGGGCGCTTAGACGCGGGTCCAGGAGACTGGATTCATTCCCTGCGGAGGGCAGGAAGGAAGGAAGGCAGGAAGAGACTGACTGACAAGGCGGTCGTTAGGCCCTCAAACCCCAAGCAAGCAAGACAGATAGACAGAGAAGCCTGCGGGGAAGTCGGCGTATGGTAAACTCGACGTTTGATACTTTCTGTGTTCATTGTTGTCTTGATGTCGACATGTCCGCAAACTTGCTGCATGTGTCTGATGAGCAAAAAACGGGGGGTATGTGCATCTTCTTCGAACCTATTTGTGTGAAATCCTGGTGAGTGGTCTTCTCGGAGGCCATTGACCTGGTCTTACCGCATTGGCCTGGTCTCAGCACCAGCATCGAGGCTGCAGAGTCGAACTTCCGGCTCCGGCGAGAAACCTGGAAAGCCTTGGAGCAAATGAAGAAGGCACAGGGACCGTAGGGTTCAGGGATAAGGTCCGATAAGGCTTTGTGAAGCTTCAGAATTAGGTTTGGGGTCACTGGGGCAAGGATGGCCTTGTCAAGAACATCGGTGTGTCCAACTACAATGACCGACATCTTACAGAGCTTCTCGACTATGCTGACACCCTTCCGATGGCAAGCCAGTTCGAGATCCATCCATTCAACACGCGCGAGATGCTGGTACAGAAATGCCAACAGCTTGGCATCAGGGTCAACGCGTACTCACCGCTGGGAGGAAAGGGCAACCCCAACCAGGCGGCATGCGTGCTGGTAATGCTGGTCTGTGACTAAATAGTATAATCCCCGTGCCTTTGCTGTTCCATCGTTGATGCCTTTGTTCAGGGTTTTTGGAACATGAGCTCGCCGTGATCTACGTAGCTCGCCTTGGCAGGTAACCGACAAGCTGCTTTCGTTACAATTGCTGACAGACATCGGTTCGGCACATGGGAAGACCCCAGCGCGGCTTGAAAGCAAATGGCAGCTACCTGTTAGACAGAGATAGACTTTGGAAGATCAGCATATTCGCGAATGTGCGCTGCAGAGGCAGACGATCCTGCGGTGGCACCTGCAGCGAGGCGTGACGCCAATCCCAAAGGCCAGTTCTGCAAGTCGATTGGGTGAGAATTTCGACGTCTTCGACTTCGAGCTGAGCGATCAAGAGATGCAGGATGGGGAGTCTTAGTGTTCCCCCGAGATTTTAAAGTGAAAGTCCGCCCTGCAGCTATAATATGCAACTTGAGGTAGTTCATTTTCTGCCGCATCATCATTGACAATGATTTGTATGGGGATGGTGTTTCTGATGGTGGACAATGATCTGTCTTGCTGGTGCTTCCTGTTCCCCAGTTGCAGTTGCAATGCCATTCCCAACTGGCGAGGAGATTTCAGGACTTGATCGACGGCGTTTTGCAGTGATGGACTCCGAAGTGTTCCTTTAGAATCAGAATTTGCCACGAGTCTCTGCAACGTTGCCAAAAGTTGACAGATAAGTGCCTCGCGGTTGGCTCTGCCAGAGCGCAAACACTGCTCGGTGGCCGGCTTGGCAAGGAGCGGCGTGGACGCCTGGCCAACATGCAACTCCATCTTGTGAAGGAGAGTAGGAGCCTCGTCAGCCGTGATCGACCTCTTGCGATGGTGCGCTCTGGCAGAGTCTGGCAGGGAGGTTCCGTCGGCTTGCAGATGCGCGGGCAACGCTTGCTGGTGTCCAGGCGCTGGCATCGGCTTTTTCTGCGAAAGCATGTGCCGTGCTCATTCTGCAGGTGCTGGAAGCGAAGCTGCCCGCGGGTGTTGTCGGCGTGGTTCCGATCCGTGCTGTCCTTGTCGGAACTGGGCAAAGTGCAAAGCATTGCTTCGCTGTACTCGTAGCTTCATCTTCCCAGGTGCCACTGAGGAGGTCCAGGCCCTTTGCTTCGCCGCGTGGCAGCTTCGGACTGCCGGCAACTCAAAGCCCCGTTGGCACCTTCCTCGGGCACGTGCCCCTGCCCACCGCGTGCGCCTAGGCCAAGAACGCTGTTGGAAGAGGCTCTTCCGGCCCGCCACAGGCTCACTGAGCTTCTTGGCCCATCTGTCAGGTAATTTGCAATCGCGTGGGGAAAAGCAGGCGGACGCAGAGGTCCTCTCGTACCGCGATATTGGATTCCCTGCATTGCTGGCAGATCTTCGAGCACAGCAAAGCTCATTCTTCACTCCGCGCTGGGAACAGCAAGCTGTGGCGACCTCAGTGTCAGGGCAATGCTTGAGCTTCGGGCAAAGACCCCAGCAGAGCAGGATGCTGCATGCTGTCAGATGCTGGCGCCCCAGGACAGAGCTATCACCGCTCATGTTTCATCCTCCGACGGCAGGCTTGACTGCCTGGTGTCGCATCTGCTTCACGAAGAAATGTCATCGTCACGGCCAGAAGTGGAGACCCCCAGCCAGTGTGATTTTAGCCGCTGGTTTGCCTTGAGGCAGAGTCTGTGACTGACAAAGGCAGACGCTGACACTCACGTGGCAATGCAGGGACGTCGTGCGTCGCAGCCAGGTGCCGCGAGCCAAGCTTCTGATCCAAGAAGTGGCGAGTTCTGCCACGACCCGATGGCCTCGATGGCCTCACGCCACGCTTTCAAAGGTTTGCAGCATGGGCCCTTGTCCAGCTCTCAGGTTGAGCTCAAAGTCGAAGTGGATCAAGGAGAACCGGTGTCTTGTGTCCCAAGGTTGCTCGGAGTTCCTTCTCCAGAAAACGGGCCGCCAAAGTTGCGCCTCTTCTTCTGCAAGCTGCCAAGCTCGAGCTCTGGAGCCACGAAATCGTCACTTCAGGTCCAAGGCAGTCATCACGGCCAGGAACTCGAAAGGCCTTTGCCGAGTGCCCCTCCAAGTCTTGGTTTGCGCTGCTTGCAAAAGCCATCAAATCTCTACCTCGCCGCCTCCGGGGACAATTGTGACCATAGCACCGTACCTTAAAGAAACGTGGAGATGAATTCCTGTACATGATGCGAGCTAGAATTGGTAGAACAGTATACATCAGACATTTTCGCTGTTCGAGACACGTGGTCCGGGTCGGGTGCAGCGATCTGGATCTCAGTAGAATTTGAGGGGTCAGAAGCACCCTCTGAAGTTCTCTGACACAGGGATCTGCAAAGCTAAAAGAGGAGATGCCCCAGCCTCCTATCAGCGACGGGAACTCCGTAAGAAAGGAAGCGCCGTTGCTGCACAATACAGCACTGCATTACGAATGGGAGATGTAACCGGCAGGTGGAGTAAACGAGGCAACAATCTGAATGAAGCCCAAGAAGAAGCTCATCCAGCTTGCCCTCAGCAAGCCAGATCTCGAACCCCGTGCTGACTCAGAGATGGCACAATCCATGACTTGACGAAGTACTGGAAGTCAACGCGACAGCGCACCAACCGCTGATCAGGGACACTGCCCTCCCTGACTTGGACGGTTCATGGTTGGTGCCAGAAGCCTCCATATCCAGTGCTACGGACTTGCCAGTCAATGACAAATGCTATGAAGACCCGCGCCTCGCCATGCGACGCCCATCTCTTTCCAGCCGGAACTTCGCTTGTCGCCTAGAGGCCTAGAGTCTAGAGGCTCCCGCATCCACCTCCAAAAGCCTAGCCGAGCTGCTAGCTCTGGCGTAACTCAGCGATCCAGCAACACTCGTGTCAGCCTTGCAGCCACTCGCCAAGCTGTATTCCTGGTGAGCCGATCACGACGCACATCATTTTCCACAAAGGTACGGAGCACCACACCACTTGTCAATGTCGACGAGGTACCGTCAATGTAAGAGCCTTAATTGGCATCCGGATAGGATCGCACAGTAGAATAAAAGAAGCCATGTGTGGATTGGCGTGTCCCCACAACCCAGGCAATGACATCTGACACTGGGGCTAACAGTTGCTCCAGCACTGAAGCTGGCGATCTGAGCCCTGGACATAGACGAAGATATTTTGTCACGCAAACAACAGAAGCAGTAGCAGAGAACAACAAAGCACGATACAGCAGCTGCTCGTGCATTGAGGGTCTGATTGACACCAGACGGCTTGCAATCCGATCACTTTTTTGGAATTGTTGTACTGTGGAGGTATTTTGGGGATGGAGATGTGCCGCTGCGGTTGGCAGAAGCGAGCAGCAAGTGCAGCAGGCACGGGATTGCATGAAGACTGACCACCTACGATCACGTGTCTCCTCAACTTCGTCAAGTTCGCAAAATTTAGAAGCTCACTTCGTTCTTGCAGGAGGCACGAGCAAGCGCCAAGGACTGCCGTGCGCTTTGCAAGGAGGCAGGCGGCTAGTGCGAGCGACGGCGATTGCCTCCCATATCTCTCTCTTTCTCCAGCGATCTCTGCATATTTCGGGTATGGCGTCTCACACAGTCAACTTGACATGATGATACAGACGCGTTTGGATCACGTGTTTACACGTTGAGGCACTTGGGGTTTCAGCACGCTACACCCATTCTCAGGCAATGTTCGGAGACACGGCTTGAGCACTGAAAGATCTGAAAGGTAAATAGGGTAAAGATGTTGGGTTGAAGTGCTTCACAGCCAAAGAACTTGCGGGCAGCTTTCGCCAGCATGCCGGCCGCGTTTCGTGGAATACAAACTGGATCAGGATAGTCGCGAGAGTAAAGGCTAGACGGACTCGAATACGAGTCTATATGTATATACAGATATGCTACATACACATGTACCTGTACGTTGGATTGTTGTGAGTGTTTGTTGTGAAAACTGTCAATATGTTCAGAAGGCTATGTCTACAGTCAGCATTCCGTGGCAAGAATCTGGCAGGCATGAGACCTACTTGATCAGAGTTTCCAGGGATCGTCTGCCACCGTCACCTCCATCACCCACATGATTCGTCATTGCCGTCGTCGGGATTGGTTTGATAAGTGGAGAGCTCATGCAAGGTTGACGAGGGGAGGATTTAATGCGTTTCTGTTTCTGTTGGTCGCGTTTTTCGTGGCTGAACGTACAGTGTACACCGGCCCCCATCCCGTGGCAGTCGCAGGGAAGCTGTACTCGTTTGCTTGAGTGTCCTCCGCCTCCTAGAGTCTTGCAGACATTCGGTTCAGGTGGACATCCGTAAGTTCAGGGAGTTGTACCCCAATCTGCGGCAACAGGTGGAGGATCGCTCCAACCGCTGGAAGGCCGTCCAGTCAGCATTGAACAGAACAGAACTGCAACAGTCAACACATTCGCCGTCCAGGAGCGGGCGCTGCATTTGCCAAGACACCTCGTGTCGAGACAGGCGAAATAATGCGAGCACCTGTTGCGTGGCGCTCTCTAACTCTAAAGGGTCGAAGAAGAAAGTCAGCAGGTGCTGTGGGCCTGGCGACTTGCAGTGAGCTCTGAGAGCCGTGAGGTCCCTATCTGCCCCATCTGAGGCGAGCGTAGCTTGACGATGTGAAAGAAATCCCCCCAGGCCCGGAGCGCGAGCTTGCTTGGTGGCTTTGGCGCCGGGCAACGGGTCTCCAAGTCAAGGCTCCGCGGTTTTTCTCTCCTTTCTTTCGGGGCAGCAGCGCAAGAAGCCGGCGTAAGCCTTGGCGTACTCAGGCTCTCACCTGGTACAGCTGGGAGCGCTGGGTTTCCCGGGCTGCCGCCATGCGAAGGCAGGGCCGGGACAATGGCATAAAGAGACCTCTGCGCCGCTTTTGCTCCGAGGCTCATCTTCGCCTCCTGGCGACAGGTTCTGCAGCTCCAAAGCCTCGGGCGCCGGAGCGCCACAGCACTCAGATTTCACAGGACTTCACCTCTTCGGAGCAGCTTTATTGACCTGTCCTGCCTGGTAGTGCCTTAGTGCCACTTGGATGCTTAGGGCTCAAAAAAGCACATGCCGGTCGCGGCCTTCTGCCGAGGCAAGCCAGCTGGAAGCACTGCAACTGCACACCTCCGCCGTGACGCAGGCCTGGTCAAGGATCCCACTTTGAGCTTCCTGACACCCGTAGAAGTGTTTATGGCCCTTATGGCCATGTGGCCGGCCATGCCTGCGCTTGCATCTCCGACAGGCACTTCGGACCCGCGTCCGCAAGGCGGAGTGCAATCAGATTTTCGTTGTCCGATGTCAGTAGCAGCTGTGAGAGCGCGTGGGCACAGCAAGGCTTTCCGTGGTGCTGTGGATTTTGCAGCATCAAGCCAGCGCGCATCTCAAGAGCAACTTTGTTCTCTCTCTGACCTGTGTTCCCCAAGCCTGGTTTCAGGTCACAGAGCCTCTCGGAAAAAACATCAGAATTCGGGGGCCTTGGACTCATCTTGGCCCCCGAGGCACAGCCCAAAGAAGCTCAGGTCTCTTGTGCAAGGCTTTCGGGCGATGGCGGCGATGTTTGGCCACTGCCCCGGCCAAACCCGAGCTGGGAGAGCTCGAGGCCGTCCGAGTTCAACTTCTCGCCGCCCAGCCCCGACCTAAGTTTTCTCCCCGCGGTGAAGCTCTGACCTGATCCCGACCACGGCTTAGGCGCCAGAGCTCTGCCCTTCAACAAGCCTTCTGCGGCCAGCAGAGGTTGAGGCCAGGCGCCTCTGTCCATCCCTGCCATGTGGGCCACCATGCCACGATGTGCAGCGCAGGGCCCTGGGCTTCAGAGACCTTGCGTTCATGCCGCACTGCCGCCCTTCACACACAGGGAGTCCGGCTAGGCTAGTCCTAGAGAGCTAAAGAGCTCGAGTGCCAGGCACTGGCGTCTCTCTGCATCTGCCGGGCCCGAGAAGCGGAGGAACTCCGGCACGCGCCTCACGGCTCCCTGAGCCGTGAGCCGAATCCCGTCCCTGTCCTCCCAAAGTACCTGCAGGTGAAGTTGCGAAGAAGATGCAGCAGCTCGAAGAGCAGCGGGGCACTGAGCGAAGCCCTTTAGTGAGAAAACATCGGGAGACCATCCAACGACCTGTTTGTGTCACGCTTCAACCGGCAGCAGGAGGCCTCTGTGAGACGGGACCAGAGGATGAGAAGGGGCCAGAAGTCATGAGGTTACAGGGAACAAACGCATGCCAACTCGAGGTCTTGCTTGTGTGCCGCCATATCGTATTTGCTTTCTGGTGAGGTTCCGCAGCATGGTCGCTCTACTGAACGGCTCCCGGGACAGCTTCTTCAACACGAAGACGCATGCGCAGGACCGCGATCAGCCTCTGCCCGGGAGCGGCCTTTTGCCTTCCAGAGCAGAGGACCGGCTACTGATGAGAAGGGTACTGCAGCACTTGAAGCTGCACACGCAGGCCCTTTGCTGCAAGGTTAGCTGATTCAAGCCGGTAGATATCTGTCTCAGGCTGAAAGAGCCGACCGAGAGCTTTCGGCAGTAGCCTCGGTCCTCGCGCAGCTACTTGGAAGTCTCGGAAAGTCTGAGCACAATCTGTTGCGGTGCGAAGCGGCTCCGAGGCAAACGAAGCCTGTCCTAAGCTCAGCTGACAGTTCTGGGGGGGCGACACAGTTAGAGACCCCCTTGCCCCTTTTGGGCTATCGGCACCACCCGCCCCAATCTAAGATATACAATATGGAAAATCCTATTCACACTCTAGATCCCAATACTCCTATCTATCCAGGTGCCATATCTCAAAAGGGGCGAGGGGGTTCTTATTCAATTTAGGGGTTTAGGTTGCGCTCTAGATTGCCCCACCCGCTATGAAGCAAGCGGCCTACGTGAACATCCTCCCCTTCGGCGGGTTTCAGGCTCGCCTCCCTCCCAGCATGCTGTCAATGAGACCATGTGGACGGCTGATGTCACTGACATGATGACACGATCACTGAGAGCTTTACTTTCGTTAATGAGTCTAGGGCTTGCTAAGGGTATCCCTTCTGGAACCCCCCCCCCCCGCCAATTGCAAATTCGCTTCATGCGGCTTTCGTCATCAAGCGCAGGCCACAAGCGGTAGATGTAGATCGCCATGGCGTCGTTTCGACCAGTTGAAGGGAGCGAGTTCACAGCCATCTCAGACACACCGGGACAAAAGCGTGGGTGGGCTTATGAAGCAGAGATCCGCCAGCGGCTCCGTTGCGAGAGTCCGGAACAGAATCGCACGTTCCAGCTGCCGCAGGCAAAAAGCTTGAGCCAGGAAGATAAGGAATATTTGAGCAGTTTGCATGAGACGCTGTACAACCTGACACATTTCAGTGTTGGGCAGCCGCTGTTAGAGAAGATTTACGACAACTCGCGTCAAGATCATGACGCATTCAGAGAAGCAAGCTGTGATGCAATTGTGGGCCATGACGTGGACATAGTGAGTATGTTGAAAGAACAGGCATACCCTTTCTACGGGGCTCGACATGGAAGACAGGGAAACGGATTGCAATTCTGGAGGTGAGCTTCTCTTGTGCGTTGGTGTGGCTTAAAGTGTATCAGCTGGAGAGGTGCCTTATGATTGCTACAGCTGCTGGCAAGTTGGATCTCGCAAGCTGTGCAGCAGGGGTGGTTATCAACGGCCAGCCCTTAACGTGTGACTGGAAAACTGGTCTTGAGCAATTTCGTCCAGATGGTCCAGTACGACAGCTGGTCGAGCAGGGGCGCTTCCACATGGTGCACTTGCCATTGGCACGAGTCCAAGAAGTAGACAGAATCCATGCAGACTATCGCGGCCAACTGAATCGGAAAAACCGGGCTCCCTGGCCGAAAGAATCATCCCAGAGTGGTGACGGACAGTGCTGTACCCCCTTTACTCTTCACCCCTTTGTCGATAACTTTGACCTAGCCCCCCTGAACGACGCAATACCCTGCATCCAAGGTGATCGGGCTGCTTCTGGTTTTGCTCGCACTGCTTCTTGTCTGGCTCGCTTACCTCCACATAATCCCCCCTGGATCCAGTGAGCCTGCCTGAGCGCGAGCTATGAAGGGTTTCGCCGCTGATTGCGATGCTGTTGTGCAGCACTCCCAGATACACAGAGTCAACTGTTCTGACTCTTGGAGTCAGCTGGTGAAGAAATTCGCTGCTGAAACGATGCAGGGAGTTGTCAGCAGCAATGCTCCGCCACCACTTCCCCCTGCGCAAGGAGTCCGATGAACCTACACGCGTCCTCGGTCACTACACCACCGAGCCCTACGACCAGTTCCACCTCTACCTCTGCAAGTGCCTTGGTTAATATATAAAAGTACTTTCAAAAAATAGAACAAATAAAGATAAGCCCCAAATTTTAAAACATAACGGTTTTAAACCGATAAAATCGCAAAAAACGCAACACAAATATTGGAAAACCCTATACGCAAACATGCAGATAGCAAAAAAACACCAAAATCAAATTTGACAACTCGGGTGTAGTGATCTTTTTGGGTTTAGGACGCTCGGCAGAGCCTCGCGAGCATTCGCGACGGCATCAACCATAGCATTATAATATTAATAATGTTATAACTGCTTTATACCAACGAAAACACATACTCCCATAATTTCTTCGGTTGTTGTGTTTCAATAATCCCTCCAACCGACCAGCCAAAATCAAAACATTCTCGTATAATTTCTTTTACTATAACTTCCTTACTAATTTCAAAGCCGTTAAATCTCACAGTAGCGGTTGTAATATTGTAATGTGCGATTTCTTGTTTAACTTCTTCTATATCGGTTAAATGCCAACAGACAGCATATAGTAACATACAGTGACATCCACCGTGAAATATAAGACGCTCGTGGTCTGGATGGTTTTTGATATTTACAAATTGCCTCATTGTCTTTCGCAGTGGGTCATTTGACCTTCTGATGATGTTTTTGCATTTTCGCCTGTCCATATATATATATCCATGTTGCGGTTACGAAATAGTAAGTGAAATATTATTCTTAGGACTTTGTTTAACTTTGAACGTTTGAGGTTTGCATCAAAATCTTTAATTTCTAAAATCTTCCTCGTGCACCTATCGCCATACACCTATCGCACTTGTCATATTCGCATACACGATTACATATATTAATCTGCAACTTGTTATTTAGCACCCTTACTTTGTTCACTTCTTCGCACTTCCAACAATTTTCAATCTTGAACATTTCCCTGTTAATATATATAGATCTCATTTCTTTAAATGCTTTCTAAAGAAAGTTTTTATCAAAAGAAAATTAAACCTTCAACAATTCAAAGCGTAAATACGCTCTATTGTTACCTTCAACATAATA